TTACAGAAAATTAAAAACTCGTTCAAATATTTCTATGGTATACAACATTATATACGAACTTCAAGTCAGCCATAACTCGTATTTCCATTCATGTTATACAAATGCAGCGCAATTTTTCATTCGCATTATAGGAGTACCGCATTATACGTGATCCTACTGTATTTCCATTAATGAACATCCCGATCTCTGTTACAGATTTAAGCGGAAGAGGAACGAAGAAGTTCGGTGATCAATGCGTGGAGGATCGTGAATGCGGATTCGCTGGATCGTACTGTGAGCCAAAGAAAAGCAAATGCGCTTGCAGGGAGGAATTCGAGGCTACGAATCACATCGACAAGTGTGGAAACCGTAAGTTAGTATACTTCCAAGCGCTCCGGTGCAAGCAGATTTGTTTAGAACATCCTGTTAAATAGCAGATTTGTTTAGAACATCCTGTTAAATAGCAGATTTGTTTAGAACATTCTGTTAAATAGCAGATTTGTTTAAAACATCCTGTTAAATAGCAGATTTGTTTAGAACATCCTGTTAAATAGGAGATTTGTTTAGAACATCCTGTTAAATAAATAATTAATTGACAATAATAATACGAACGAATAAATGAATAGGAATGAAGATAATTTTATTTAGTCCACTGGGTTTCGGTTCAAGTCACGTCCAAGGATCGTTTTTTTTTCTTTACCAAAGACGAGTTTTACGATCGGGACGATATGAAAGTCGAGGGATGGCAGGTTATAGCTTCCTCTGCTAGAATTTAAACGAGGCACCGCGCTTTTATGTGTCTCAGTCATCGATGGTGTCATGAAAAATTAAAATTAGGATTCTAGAAATATTCGATGAACTACGATATAGTACTAGTTATGGATCAGTTTTAATGTTATTATTTCCTGCTTGTTTGAGCACTAAATTCTGTGAATCGCGTTGCTGTGTGCGTTGAGAAGTGGTCGAAATATAGAAACAAGTGCGAAAGCTCTAAAATCATGATTTCTAGGGAGATTTTATTACGATATTCCTACAAATGTCATGATCAACATTAGTTAATTAGAAATTATCTTGTTAAGCCACAAGGCCAATAAAAAGTAATTCCAGTTATTCAGATAAATTTCGCTAATACGAAATCGAATAATTTTTATTTCTCTACAATATAAGAAGGATTAGTAAGATAATCAAATAGCACAACTATTCAGTATTTTTGTTCTATTTTTAGTTGCATTTTTAAGTTATAGATCAGTATTTATAGAACTATTACGAATAGTTACCAAATAATTAACAGTTGTTCTTATTTATTTTATCTTTGTTATGAAAGGATGTTATTTAAAATGCTCAGGATTTTCGTCGCAGTTAACATGTTAAAAATCGAACACAATTTCATTTTATTTATTCAGTTTACTTATCGTTGCGATATATCTGCCAACCACCAGCAACAAAAAACATAAAGCTAGAAGGAATTTAATCTAGGATTGAGGACTGATCACTGTTAAGCCACTCTTCTAATTGCGGGTTCGTGGTCGATATATGGAGACAATGCGGGTAGATAATCGCGCGATCAGACTCACCATGCCGATCCTGGCTGCATACTGTTGGCCGCAAGGTTACGGTTGTCACCTCATTTTGTGAGAAATATCTCGTCATCTAAATAATATATTATAGATACTCTATTGTTCGCACTATTTAATTCTATAAAAATTTGTTTACTGTGAATACTGCTGAAAATATTATTCTAGCGGAAATTAAATTGCTATGCAATCTCTTTTCACTTTAAAACTTACAAAATTTATTATTTCAAACTACTATATTATAAATGGAATAAAAGTTAATATCCTGAAAAGTATGAATTCCTTTTCAATTGTAATATAATCAAGGAAAAGAAAATTTAACGTTCTAGGATACTGTAGAATGAACCACCTAATAATATTTGATTTTTAACGAAAACTCTCTGTTTTATAAAATTAAGTATCCACCAATGTTTATATTTTAAAACACATATCCTTTCTGCTTGGATTGTTCCATTTTATTGTCTTGTCTTAGTTTGATATGCTCGATTAGATTTTATTTACATCATAAGTACTATAAAAAAATAGTAGTGGTAACATTGGAAGGTAAATTAAATAATACAAAAAAGGTGAAAGTACATCTGGAAACTGTTTCATTTTCGATTGATTTATGATATTTTCAGATTGTTCCATTCAAATCAATTATCTGAAAAGTCGTTTATTCGGATTTGTCTTACAATTAGTTCAGATAATTGGCGTTCTACTTTAATATTATATAGTATCTGTAGTTACAACAAAGAAATAAAAAAGAAGAGTGCGACATTTAAAAAGTATGTAAACGAAAAAGTTTTTCTCTTCTTTCCTAACATCCTTAATATCAAATAACGAAGTGTTTACCGATATACAAAAATTATAATATATTGTTAAGTGATACAACAAATTATTAAAATCATTTCGATGCTGTAAACGACGATAAAGATCACTGAAAACATTCCTCCTCCATAAATGACTAGACACATTTTCAAATCATTGTTTTCCGTGTTCCATACTTTGCAAAGAAACAAAAATTTTCATATTTATATTAATATTTTATTCGTACATGACGATTGTTATAATTACATTCGCTTTTACCATTAATGAATATATTTTCTATGTCCGATAAATGAATAATTTTTACGACAGAAGCTTTCTTTGATTGATCAACTACATCTTGCCAGAGATAGTACCTGAAAAAATTAATAAAAGAAATCTCTCTTCAATTCTCGTTTATTTTAATAAGCGAGAAAAATAAACTGTTAGCCAAACAGTTCTACATACATACTTTTGTTACTGAAAACTGGGACACCGGAAGTAGGGATCGCTGAGTGTTTTCCCAATAAACTCTTCGAACAGTTTCAAACGTCAGGAAGTTATTGATTATAGGGAAACAGGGAAACTTTTAGACAGGGTTGATATTAAAAAATATGATCAACTGTCTTTGAGGTTGCTACAGGTTGAACCTGACAAGGGGAGAAACTTTTTAGAATTTCTCAAATAATGTGTGACCCGAAATTACAAATGATGGAGCAAAAGTTGCGGAAGGTTATCAGGGCATTGCACGGCCATTGATTGACGTATCGATCATCGCAAACAATACAATCTTTTCTTATCAGTCACACAGGAATACAACTCGAGAAAGGTCTACGCTGTTTGCAAAGGATATACCGATATATAATCAACTTATGTACGATATCTGAAGCGGAAAGTGTTGGGGAAAGACATCAAATCCATTTTTATTGTTTCGTTAATTCAATTCTAACAGATTAAATATTGGGTAATAATGATACGGAAATTTTATTCAGAAAATTTCGTGGGTTATTTTTGTAACTTCATAAAGGATATTAGTGATTAGAAATAATTATATGACAGTATTATCAATGCTGAACATACATAAATGTTTTTTCTTATTTATTGTTCCACTCTCAAAGCTATTAAAAGGTCATAATTCTTTATTAACAATGATTCATATCTAATGGACAAAGTTAAAAAAATATTTGACATACGTACAAGCACTTTTCAAGTCTAAAGTTTCAGTAAAACTTACTTTCAACGGGGTCATAGAAATTCCAAAGCGTGCTTTCAGAGTTGTGTAACTTCTTTCAGAACTGTACGATGTAAAAAATTGTTCATAAATAATTTATGCCGAATATACAATTAATCAAAAATCAATGAACCCTTTGTCTTATGACTTATTTTATGATTAGGGTCGTTGAGATTACTTCATTGCTATATTTGTTACATATACACTTTATTTTTTACTCCGATTGATCCGAACTGAAAATTATTCACTTTTTATTAATATCTCTGCATTGTAAATATAATAATGAAACTACATACTGTCTTATGTATGAATTATCCTTTCATACCAAATATAAACGATGGAACATTAGTTAATTTTGATGTGGTGTTAACTAATTGTATGTATATTATGTGGAATGACTCAATTCTGAAGCTTAATAATACCATCCATCCTTTTCTGTTTGTATTTTTATAAAAATGAAAATTACATGTAAAAACTATACATGAATAAACACTCGTTTATTATTCGTCTTTTATACTTCTCAATGTAGCTTACAACAAAAATCTATTTTTAATCGTCAAATTAAAAATCTCCCTAAGTTTATAACTTGACATTCCAAATTAACAAGTTGATCAAAGCCTTAAAAACTCTAATCCCCATCAGTTACACGAATAAATCACAGAGAACGAAGTCGAAGAATCACCCCAGAATTTTGGGGGCAATAGGATATTTCTCATTTTCTAGTTTTTCGTTTACAAAACGAAGATTTTTAAGTTTTTAGAAATTTATTTACTAACATTGAAGCTGAATGTATATTAATAACAAATTTATGAAAAAAATTATCATTTTCAGTTTTAACCATTAGCTTTCGCTATTAAATTTGAACTGATCTGAATCACTTCGATCTACCCTACTTTATTTACAAATATTCTCGCTGAAAGTGGGTGTCAGGTGCCAGAAGAAAATTTCGCAGTAATAAAGACGCGAAGCCTCGTAAAAATGATTCAGTTGGAATAATCGCTTTCCAGCGGAGGGGTTGGAAAGAAAATCATTTTCGTGTGGTGCCGAGTGAAGGCAAATCGCCGTTAATGGTTTTTATTTTGCAGCGGTGAACGTGAACGAGTCATGCTTTTTTAACGAGCAATGCGAGGCGAGGGTGAGCCAGACCGAATGCAGAGACGGACGGTGCATTTGCATCTTCGAGAAGATCCCGGTGACGCAGCCGGACGGCGTGACAGTATGCGTCGGTAAGGGGGTGCGGGATAAAAGGGTGAAAGCAGGGCGGGCAGAGATGCGCCGCACACTTTTTAATGAGATTCCACTGGCATGCCAAGGGGATACTACCACAAGAATGAGACGTGTTCCGTGTTAATGGAATTCCGGCCTACAATTTCGCGGAGTTCATTACTTCGTCAGCTGTCTCCCGCGATCAATTAAAGCGTGCTGGATAAACTTGATCGTCCGAACTAGAACAACGGAATTGAATTAAACAATTAAAGCGAATGGACGAATGTATAAAATCCGGGGTCATCCTTTACTTTTCAGCGGCTAATCCTAGAAGCTGGCTAGTTTAGAGAGTGATTGTTCCAAATCACGGCTCCACCACCAATGAGCTGTACATTTTTTTTACTAACAATTTAACACTAGAATTACCAGCCTGATTCCTCCTTTGATTCTTTGACGAATTATTGAAGAAATTGTTTTCATAATACGCAAACTGAATTATAAGTCAGTCGAAATCTCAATAGATGTACTTTTAGCGTTTCTATAAAAAAATTAGAAAAAGGCAATTCAATTGCTTGGTAGTTTTAATGTTAATAATATTATTTAATTGAGGGAACCTTTAGAAAAACGTTTAAACAGACTCTTTGGAAACGTTGTGTCGATTTGTTAGGAATGTAGGACGAAAGATGAAGATTTATATGTTCTGGGTTTGGTCTGGGTTAGATCTTGGTTAGATTATGACGTTGCGAGCTTGCGTAGAAGTAAACGTGAACTTTAGTGATGATAAACTACAAACGCTGTGAGAATTTCTTTCGCGGCCTTATATTTGCGCTTGTGTCATTTAGGTGGAGTCATGATTCAAAATTAGCTCTTAGGGTACGGAAAGAAATTGGTTTCATTGTCGCATAGAAATAAAGGAATTTGATTTAACAGTTAACATTTAATGATTTTAAGATTTAATTACATAAGTTTTATTTGTATTGCAGATCATGGTGAGATTATACAAAATGTTTGTCGCTGCTTTAATTTTTTTAATGTATATAACTAAAATTTTAATAACTGAATAAAGAAATCCAGAATTAAATATATAGAAAATAGAGAAGCGAGAGCTTTTCTTTTAAAGCGCAGTGCGTAAAAGTTTGTTAAAGAGTAATTGAGTCAATAAGGTTAAGCCTGACAAAATATTCTATGAATTATTCGTCACACAAAGGTTATTAAAAGAACTTTATGCTGTGTCTGTCATAGAAGAAACATAAAAGAGTATAGCAGAGGCTTACTTTTTATTCTGGAATGCTTGAAGTTAGATACTTCAAAATATAAAAGCAAAACTTAAAATAAGGTCAGTTGCTTAACGAGCGAGACGCCTTTGTTTTAAGGCTTATTTGAGAATATAGTCACTAGCTTAAAACTTTACATTATCGAACCACGTGTTGTATCAAGAATTTTTATATACTGTGAAATTTACTCTTTTTTGTCAACTTTATGTTTTAATATATCACAAATAACTTTCGTATGAAAACATATTCGGAATGTATATACATATAAAGAGTTTTCTTATATATCAATTTTAATTTTTTTCTAAATACTTCGTAATATAAATGGAACATTTTGTATTTATCGCTACACCATATTCATTTTATATTAATTTTATAAAATCGTTCATACGTTTTATAGTAATACTTACATTGCATACATACATTCGTAACATTGACATTGATATTAACATTCTCTATATTTTAAGAAAAGAAATATTTCTCTATGAAAAGTATAGGTTTTCGCTTTAATAGTTCAAATGTAATGTATCTAATTTAACTACACTTTTAATTGATAAGAACGAATATTGTTTTAGCCGAGCAGAAAGAAGAACCCAATCTCCAGTACGTCGATGCGACAATGATTGGTGTTCTCGTTGGAATGGCCCTCATGTTCATCATCATTTGCGTTGTTCTTAGGCTTTTCAGCAAGTAAGTCATGCATTTCCTTATCTTTGCACGGTGACTCTTAACTTTATCCATTTCCGGGATACAACTTCATGACCTACTTCACCTGAAAATCCCACCTGAAAATGGACTAGTGCAGTCACGAGCTTAATATGAATTTAATGCTTCTTACTTTATACAAGAAAAAATGTTATTACCCAGCTAATTTGAATTCATTTATAGTTAGACGGTAGCGGAACGGTAAAATTGATATTGGAAAAAAATACCATTACTATAAACTAACCAGTTACTGAAAAAGCTATAAAATATTATTTCTTCTCAGATTTCAGGGCAAGTTTCTGTATGAAAGTTTCAGATTAGGAGATCCAAAGATAAGAAATGTTTTAAGTAAACTTTGATTCTCATTAAATTAAATATCAATTGAAAAATAAATACCCCTAGAATAAAATAGTACTTATAAATCTAATAGAAGTAAGTTGTACCAGGTACAACTAGATGATCTTTTTAAGGAACACTGATTTTTCTTGTTTCAGTATTTTATTGTTTTTGTACAACACTCCCACTAAATTTTTCAAGTAACAGAATTATTTACTTCTGTCTTATATATCAATTGGTATATCAATTATAAAATCTTCACAACATATTTATACTATTCTGTGTACACTATTTACAAAAATGGTCTTCTATTATTTAATTTCAGAAAAGAATAAATAATACGAAGATATTATTGATTTGATACAAATTAAATTGTCGATATTCTGAAATAATTCACCATTGATCCTAAAAAGCGTATTGTCGAAAACTTAATAAGTCAGTATAGTAATTTGGGAAGTTCCTTCGAAAGCTTTCCCAGTGTCCAGTGCAAAGAGTAATTAGGTCTCGCCTCATGAATATTATCGGTTTTCAGAGTGCTATTTTCATTACTTACGAGGGACATCGCATATCTTGTACACTTTTATTGCAATAGAATGTTTGAACATGTAAAGTTAACAAAATATTCTAAGATGAATCGCTGGTATCAGCATGTTCTAATTTTAAGAATTTAAGGGTATACGTCTGTAATTTTTATGTAATCTAAATTCGACTGAAATGAGATTTAGTCTTTTATTTAACCCTTTACGGTCATAAGGCGATCTATGCCTGACAGAACACTTTTACCGTTTTGATTGTATTAGATGAAAATAATTAAAATTATAAATAAAAATTAAAGAAGTACAATATTTATTATTAAAATAATTTATATAAAATAAGGATCTATTATTGTAGTACATTTCTCTAAAATTTAAAAACAAGTCATAACCTTCATTTCTACATAAAATTAATACAACCCCAAAGGGTTAATCCTTCTTTCAAACTCGAATATCAATTTGCATGTAAGAAACAACATTTTTTAATGCTGTCACTAAACCATAGTCGATATTGATGCCATCGACTATGGGAGCTATTTATACCTATAAAAAAATTATAAAAAGTGCGTATCGATTACTTTTTGACACAATACATGTATAACAATCAGTGCGTACCACGAATCAGCTGATGTCCTTGTGATTTATAAAAGCCTTTATACACGATGAGATTTGCCTCGAGACATGTCTCGGGAAAAGCGATCAGTTCGAGTCTTTTTTAGTATTATATGATGTGTTATGGTTCATACATCGTCAACGAGGTCTGGTGAGGTCAGCGTCAGCTTCAAAGTCCTTTCGAAACTTACATGTCTCGGGACATGTTTCGAGACAACCGATAGGTTTGAATCCTTTTTACTTTCTTTGCCTTTCTATGTATAAACATATCAACATATCATATAAAAAATTGAAAGGGACTCAAACCCATTGCTTATTTCGAGACATGTTCCAAGACTGATTTTAAGAGGACATTGATAGTGGTCTCGTGAGACCCTGGTAGTGATCCATGCATCATAGTATATCATATAAACAGTGAAAAAGACTCAAACCCATTGCTTGCTCCGATACACGTTTCGAAACAAATCTCATTGCTTATAGAAGCTATTTTTTAATTTCATATTTGAATAATTTATAACTTTTCCGAAACAAGAAACAAAATTTCCGTATTGAAAAACAATTATCTAATTTGGAAACTACTTTTTACATCATATCAGATTTTCAAATAAATACAAATACGCCTTCAGATCGAAGCAAACAGTAATATTTTAATTGTTTGGGGCTTTAAGGCCGAGACTGCGCGAGCATTTTATATGCAGCGTGTTATACATCACACTTTCCCCTCTCAACTGATTACCGTAAGGAGATCACTTGATGGCTAGACTGAGGAATTCGGTTAATCGATCAGTTTTCATTTTTCTCACCCAGTTTTTGGCGATTTTATTTCCTAGTTTCTAATATTTTCGGTCACTAATTTGCTACTCGTCAATGCGGTTACAAGTAACCAATCAAAACTATAAAACTGTAAACTAGAAAAACACCTCTTGCCTCTATGGCATACCACTAGACATCGCATCATCTCACAATTATACACGAGCATTTTAGAGCGTGTGACATCGTGTTCCTGACAACGCACAGTTGCTTGCATTGAAATACTCGGATCACATTGAAACGGAGAAAACGTGTAGAACGCTCGTGTAGTCCTGGCCTAAACTGTGCTGACGAGCCCACAATCAGCAACGAAGGTTTCATCTTTCTACAAAGTATGAAATATTTTTCAGGGCTCGCTGGCGCGAGAATCGCACGATCTTCAACACGCCGAATGCCCGTCTGATGAACGTCTCATTGCTGAGGGAGAATAAACTCTTGCACCCGCAAGAGAGACGGGGTTCAAGGGCAAGCGTACGGGTTCCCTCGAGGCAACCCTCGATGGCCTCCTTACGCGCCCACTCGCCGAACGCCTCGCAAGGTGCGAAACACTCTCAGCACTCACAGCACAGAGTGAGCCGTACGGGTTTTTATTCATTCACTTACTAAGCAAGCAACTTGTTATACAGTGTCCCGTTGAAATGAAACAAGCAACTCTTTTACGCGCCGTTATATCGGGTGTTCGATGGAAATCGAGGCGCCCTCGACGTATCGCCGACGCCATAATAAGGGACTAACTTTTCTATAAATTAATCAATTTCTCCTTTAAATAATATATTTCGTATCTTGTTTGAAAGCGTTTGATCTTTTGTTTTTCCTTGCAAAGACAGCTTAGAGTGAGTAGGGGAAGTATTCGCCTAGGGGTAGTCGAAGATTTGATATGTAAGAAATGTAGAGTGCATTGTGGTTTATTGGAGAAATTGTATGCGTATTAAGAACGATCCCTTAAATGAATGTGTCAAGCATGGTAATGATTTAATAATCTGAATGTGTGTATGCATAGATTATTGATCGTAATAAAGTATCCGTAGAGATTGACAGAGAAATTGATTGTAGAGGACATGATGTACGTATCTGTGGATTTTAAGTAGTTGCAGCGCCATAATTTGAATAATTTTTATATTTTTTTAAACACGATAAAATATTATCGAGAAATATAAATTGTTATTAAGTTTTTGCTTCTGTAAATTAGTCTATAAAGGTATGAGTTTGCGTAAACATCTACAGTCCACATGATAATTATATAAATTGCATTTCATTAGTTTAATTGTAAGTTTGATAACTGTTGAAAGCAAAAACTACAAAAGGAAATAAAACATTAAAGACATAAAGGAATTTTTATGATCATGAGTTTGTGCGACATTCTTGAATTACCTTAATGCGACAATAATAAAGATCGAAATATCATCGTTTGCAATTTTTGGGCAGTTGTCACTAATATAATTTTATAATGAATATTTATAGTCTCACTTTTTTATATCACTGAAATTATTAACAATATTGAACATATTATCTACATACATATTTTTAGTGTACATTCAATTTCTGTCAATAATCCACAATGCTTTATGCAGTTCTCACATAGAAATCATTTAAACGTTCTTCGAATAATTTGTCGCTCACTATGTATAACGTTCTTATTAATGATGCAGTGTTCACAGTGATATCGATAAATTATTATTAACTATAAACGTGAGTTCGAGAAGTAGACCATTCTTATAGCTGAAATAAGTAGAACATAGAACAACCCTCTGTTTGTGTTTTAATATCGATGGACTAGAAAAAGTTTTAATTATATTTCACAAGGTGGACAACGACGAATAACGATACTTGTCTTTAATCAGCCGCCGTCGAAAATAGCTGTCTTCCATTATATCGATTTCCGTAGAACATCCCATATATGTACAATATAGATACGAGTATACAAAGTAGGTGATAACCTACTCTTGCCTATCTTTACTTTAGAAACCTTCTGTTCAGCGCAGAATCCTTCTGAACTTCTCGCATGCACAATTGCCTGCCAAGAGGGTAGATATATGCTAACACATCCTATACGAGTGTGCATCGAGATCGACGTGTTACATTTGGATGCATCGTTGTGACTGCAAAACTCTTCTATTGTTAATATATTACTTTCCGAAACTTACAAATAATTCTTAGAACAATAGACTTTTGAAAAAGATAAATTACGGGACCTAATGTCATGCCATAAATTACAAACTTATGAGGAATATGTAACTATACATAAAAAGCAGTACCTAACGATAAAGAAAAAAATAGAATTTATAAAGTATATGAATCAACACATTATACCAATGTATCTTGCGTTAATTAGTAAGTGAATGACTATTTCAAACCATCCCTCGAATAACAGGAGCACTACAAGTAAATGTCAAAATCAGTAAAAACCAAGTACGGAACGCGTTATTTTAGATATACCATAATAATGTATTGTTTAAAATGTTAGAGAAATTATCGCAAATTAATTTAATGCGTTAAGCCGTCGAAGCAACGTTTAAAAACTTCCCCTAAATCTCGCCAGAACGATGCATCCCTCTTGCCATAATCATATTTCTCTTTTAATGGTTAAGTCAATTAATTTGACTCTCTTTGCAGTCGACCATCTATAGCAGTAGTCTGTTTAATGATCCCGTCTGTGACCGTTAAATCTTGATTAACATGTACTGTGGACCTATGAAGTGCTCTATTGTAAAAAAAAAAACTTTTCAAATTGACGCGTCCTTCGAAGAGGGTAAGTTTCGTAATTACTTACCAGCCACTTATTCTTTATTCTATTTACGGTGTATCGTAGCGTGTTCTGTGTTACTTGTACATAGCACCGATGGTACTTACCCTCTTTCGGATACGTCAGAACTTCGAGCCTAGAGTAATTTCGTTTTATCAATCTTTTCCGAGCCTATAAATTCTTATCGATAGACCAGAGAGTTTCCTCTAATCCAGTGTCTTCGAGGATCACGACTATAGTTGCTTGCTACAGTAAAAGACCATTGCTTGCGTCTCTATCGTAGAGAGATTGCGTTAAAATCATAGTCAAAACCTGACTATAGACATATAGAAACAATTCGGTAGATCGAGTCGAGAGGGAATAAGAAAATATCCGCAATTGCATCAGATCATTCCATAAGTCTTTGCATTCTTTTTAATTCACCATAATCGAAGAAACGTTCCAAATTTTATAATTGAGTGAGATTAATTATAACTGAACGCTTGCCACCGTTCTATTCGTTCTTTTATTTAGCTTGTGCTTCACGTGTTCTCCATTGAAAATGTAGCTTTTCTACTTTTTAAAAACATTGATTTAAGAATAATGAATATAGGGTGGAAATGAAGAATGCTATTATTATAAATGAAAGTGTATAGTATACCATTTAGAAAGTTATGTTTTCTGATTCAATTGTAAAATATTCATTCACTGCTACATACATAGTTCTATATTAGTACTATACTGCGGGCAATCATGTTTTTGAGAAATTTTCTCGAAACAAATGATAGGAAAGGTGAGTATATTTGGTCGCACAAACACTCTCTTTAATTTACTTCATTTCAAAGTAATTATAACAGGTACAGTATTATAAATTGTACAGTGTTCAATATAACTAATTACTTAAGGGTACTGATAACTATCTTTCTATTTTTATACTTGAAAATTCAATTAATTTATATTGAAAATTATATTACATTATACCGCAGAGGACAAAAACAGATCTTATTAAAGCGAATTTAGTTTTTAATTTCTAACTATATAAATATAAAACTCAATGAAATGTAATGAATTTTCTAGTACTGTAAATATTTTTTAAATTCGTGTTGAAATATCAATAGTTCACGTCAAATTCATTTTGATAGTCAAAGTGACAAATGTAATTCGTAAATCAATATTTTGCGCCAAAGGAACGTATCCCTTTCGATCATTATTGCATTCGTGTTTATTTACGCATTTTCACTTTTATATAGGCACAGAAAAAATACTTGCCACAGGTTTGCACAGCAAAATATGTAAAGACTGATGAAATGATCTGATGTTTTATTCAATGATCTAGTTGGTAATGGCGATTATAAACAGTAGCGATTTGATGCTATTTGTTTATTCTTGGGGAATTTTTTATTTCCTCCGCGTAGTTATGGACAGCTAGTATTAGCCATCCGAGACACGAGTTGCGGCGACGAGAATGATTATACGCACTCGAGTACATTTCCATTATCGCACGGAGTTCTGAAGTAGTTACTAAATAGACCGGGTTGCACTCGAAAGGAATGCAACTCGGTCAATTGACTCGATTACACGGTAAGCTAGATTATCGATAGGGTTCGCCGGAAATGAATAATAACTCTCGCATGCCACGCAGCTAAGCGTTATCTTGTACTCGATACGCGCAACTCGTTACATACTCAGCCTAAGTCCGACGAACCCGACGATGGAATTTCGTACACTCTTTGAAATTCCAGTTTTCGAGCACTTTTAGAATTAGGAAACTGCATGCACACGCGCACATAATAGCGGTCGAAAACAGAGCACATGGAAGCTGTGTACACTTTTAAACGAAATAATCGGAATCCGACTACTATAAACGAGAAATTTGGTTAAATGTTCAGTAAATCTAGCATTTCCAAATCTTCCATTTGAAAAGATTTAAAATTGGTCGATGTACAAGTGAAACTCATAAATGAAAAATGAATAAAAGTCTAAGTAATATTCAAGTATTCATCCTTTTTGTATTTGTCATTCTCCATTTGCAAAAAGATTGTCGTGCCTGTTCAAAACATGTAATTTCTACATTTATTTCGATAATTTTTATACAAGAAAAGAAAACCAAGTCTTGATTTAAAAGAAAACAGATTGCCTTTCATTACATTGCAATTCAATTTAACGCGTCAAGAAATTTACAAAGTGACCCCAAAAATCATATTGTAGACGACAAAGTCCTATTCCATTAATATTTAGCTTGTGTCCTAGCTTATATCACTTTTTAAATTGTACCTGATTATAAGACGAAGAAAACAAAGAAAGGAGAGAAAATCTGTCTTGTGTTAAAGTACTAACTTTGTACCTACATTCATACTATAATACTCTGTTATTTAATAGCAGAACAGAACGAAACCAAATTTTCTCAAAATACATCAGTCGCGTATACACGGCCGCTATTATAACTTTTCTAACCGCGATAAAGAGCCTGCCCGGAACGATAACGGTTTCTTCATGCTTAAAACTTTACTCCGGCTTTTCGTGTCATGTTGAATCACTGCCAAACTAAAGCACGCGATACTTTAGCAAAAAAATCTCTGTCGCCAGGGTCACGAACAGGATCACGTCGCGGGAGTCGTGGCAGCAGCGGTAACGCGTCGGCTGTCTCGACGAAATCAAACAAGTCACCGCCCAACCAGCCAAGTAACATGACGGAAACTGTTTTGGATAACGTCACCGTGGAGATTCTCGAGGCAAAGGCGTAGATCTGCGAGAAACAGAAAAAGAAACTAGTTCCCGACCCTTCGTCTAAAGAAGCAAACCATTTAGGAAATCCTCTATCCAACGTATAAACGTTCGATTCTTGTCGTTTCTATTCCTTTTGTTCTTATCCCTTTTGCTTTTGTCCTAACTAGGTTCCTAGTTTGTCCCACTTTCAGCTCTAAACCTCTTCTAAATCTAACCGTGGCAAAGCCATCGCGAGTTACTATAGCGATCCAATAAAGCTTCGTTATATCTACCTTCCAAAAAACGATTGAAAATCAACGAGGGCGATAATTAATTTTAGATAATCGAAGGAAAGAATTTTACAATTGAGATAATCATTGTTTACCGAGATAATCATTCGTTAATCCCATGTGTCCGAGGGACGTTCGATTTGCTGATAAAAACAAACTGTTACGGTCGCGCCGGAAAATTGTAACGTCTTTCCTTTCCCGTCGAAAGTATTTGAACGCACGGAAAAATCCACGATGGCGTGCCCAAGTGTAAATCGTAATTTTGATAAAACACTGCTGAAACATAATGATATTAACGAAATGAAAATTAGAGGAACGTAATATAATTTCGCGATGAAATCCGACTACTTCGCACAAAGAAAAAAATGCGGCTAATCGCGTCGAACGCCTTAGAATTACACAGAAAATGAAATCTTGAACTTAACTCCTGTAGATCGTTACAGATTCTGCTGTCTTCTAAGAAAGGAGAAAAAAAATATAAGAAAACCGTAACATTTTCTACGACAAAAAAAAGCTTAGGTATATATACATACATATATACATATATAAAATCATCTATCACTGTGGAGAAAACTTCTTTATCTTCGGTCTATTTGTTTGCTACTACGATCGGGATTCTGTCACGATATTCACGAGTGAAGCGTGGCGGGAACGCGAAGCTCGTCCCGCCATTGTTCGCCTGCCGGCGAAGATTTTACATCGTTCGTAATGTTATTTTGGACCAAACGATAGCGTACGTTTTGCCATGATGGTCATGCAAGAAATACCATACATCGCTTCAAGCTAATCACTCTCTAGGTAATAAATAATTCGTATTTTGTAACCGACGCTGCAACGATACGTGACAAGATCGTTCGATCGTTCTATGTCCAGCGATCGACGGTCAAAGTGGCGGTGATTATTCAACGGTCGCAGGTTCCGTATCGACCGAATAATTTGAGCAGATCAATCGCGATGATGTCCGTTGGAATCATCGCAGTGTACCTTTTACCTCTAACAGTCCACGTACTCTAACTACTTACTTCTAAATCGTTTAAATAACTTCTCGAGGTGATCGACTTTACTCGAAAGTTCGAGTTGGCTAAAGCTGAAGGGATTCCAGGCTCCTAGAGGCGACTTATCGTATAAGGGTTTTTGAGCCGTCAGCTGGTCTGATAGCGTTGTCTACGCGTGGAATCGTCCAGACGAAATACGGAACTCGTCGAGACACAAAGAAGAAAATTCAGGGGAAAAGAAAAGAATTTTCGCGGGCAAAAGAGAACGGTTGAAAGGCTGCGTTCAGGAAAGAGCTGACGTTCCGATCGTTCTTATTGCGCTGCGCATTTTGAGAAGCCAACACGACAGGGACCAGACGAATGCGTTTGAATCGACATCCTGAGAGTAACGTAGCGACCAACTTACGCACCGTGCGTGTTTTACTTAAGCACCGTCGTAGCTTTATCCATTTCACGATGACACATATTGAAATCAACGAGATAGCTTCACTATCGTTAGACTATATTACCCAAGATCGATTTTTCATTATTAACGCTTCGCAAATAACCTTCTAATTAAACGGAATATTATAGACCTCGTAGATTTTTGCTTAGTATTGATGATCACTTGAATCCTCTGATTAGATTGTAAAACGACGGCAGGATTGTTTGTAAGTCGAAAACAAGTTCGAGTAGAATGGAAGATTCGAATCTCTTTGACCGTGGCACGGACGAGCTGTCAAGCTGGTGTAAGCGAAATTGATTGTGGTTAACGGTTGAGTTAATTGCGAGACGACGGGACGAGACTTTTCTCGGATGACCTCACCGTAGATAAACCAAAAGTATTAGGACACCGTTTCTACACCTATCTTTATTAATCGCACAAGATCACGTCCTCAGAAGCTTCAATCGAGCTGTACACATTTACATGGAAGATCATCGCGCACGTGTTACACATCGAAATCATTTCCTTCGAATCTCACAGGAATAATATACATAAATGAAGATCATTGATAGTCCGGTACGATTGTATCTCAGCAATTTAGTGCCTGCACTCTCGCGTATATAGCGTTTATGCAACAAAGAAAGAAAAACAGAAATGAGATTAAGAAATATACATAAATACATATATACATACATATATATATATATATGGATATATATTCAATGTATAAATATATACACATAAATATATATGTATGTACATAGAGATAGGTATTATAAATATCAGTACAAGAAAAAAAAAGTATACATATGTATACACATGATATACATGATACTAGGTTTGACACTATTTGCACTATTTATAGATTACTTTTTTGAAATGCCTAGTGACTGTATCCACTCTGTGATCTATGTGCAACGTACAGCTAAAACAGCATTCTTCTTGCTACCGTCGTTGTTACTATTCTTAATATTTAGGGTAAATTAGCGTTGAAGATCGTGTAAGCGACTCGCTTAGTTGTTATCGTCCGCTGCACCTAATACAAGTCGCTCTCACTTCGCACCAGGCCGATCTTGTATAGCACGTACTGCGTATATAACTAGGCGAATCTAGAAGAAACGTCTTTTCAGCGATTAAGCTAAACCTATCATCTTAAGGCAGTCAACTATCGTTCTAACGATCGCGTGGAAATGTCAACTGAGCTTGACGACGTATCTTATAGCAGATTGAGGGAAGAGTAAAATATAAAAAAGAAGTGGAAAAGAAAAAAAGAATGACGATAAAGAAGAAACGGATACAAGCGCGTACAAAAGTTGAATAAACTGATTTGTTTGACGAGGGATCGGTCTGATCCGCGAACGAAATTCGGGGAAGGTTTCCGTTTTCGGATAGAACGTTTCCTCTGCTAATTATTCTTTGTCTCGACGAAACGTCGGAACCATCGTCGACTATCATTCAGCCGTGGAAAATAATCGTCCGCTTTACGACTCTAGAGTAACGTTAATTGGTAGAGTACTTATTGATTAAGAAGCTTCGAGTCGTTAGTTTCCCTCCACCCTTATGATAGGAAACGCAAATGAAATTACCAATGAAATATAAGCAGGGTGCCTCGTCTTTATCACTTGAATACACTCGCTCACTTTTTGTACGTCTCTATTCTACTGCATAGAATCCGATCCTCGCGTTCCGATGCTAGAAATAGTATAGGATTTATCGAAAGAACTACGACTATTGTATCTCGGTTTCATTTTTCAGTAGATTCTCTCCTTCCTTCGTGCTCACCCATGGGATTCTAGAGTACATCAAATTTAGAATGACTTCCCGGTTCTTTTCTAATTCAATAGTCTCGGATGTAGAAAACACACGATCTCGAGAAACGCGAGCCGGAAAACTCTTCGGTATCTTTGATACGACAAACCTATAATTGTCACCGACAAGTCGGAATCCTTTAAGAAGTCCCTCGCAAACGTTAATCGAAGAATCGTCGAACATCGAGAAAGCTGCTCTTGAAAAGAGCGCGGACCGAATGACACGGTAATCCAAGTATGGGGAAGTGTTTGGATTACCTTCTTCGCTCCTGCAAGAGACAGATACCTAGATACTTTCGCGGGAATTCTCCTTGATGAGATCAAAGAAATATATAAACGAACACATGTGTATCGTACTAAAGCAAAACCGTTGCCACTTTTGATATCTTTGTGGGATCTACGTTGCGTTCAGCGGAGAACGATCCACGGAATTGGAAGACGTGACACGAACGGGAAACCGAACGATT